TGTAGAGAACATGGAACCAGGTCGTGATATAAGGAACAATAGACTCAGATTGGTCAAGTCAGGACTAGATTATCACAGAGAAGCGAATGACTCTTCAGAACATACTTCATCTTTGTGAAACATTTATTCTGTTTTAAAATAAGGAAGCTGGTTTTCTTTCATACCAAGACCACATCACACCAGGTCCTGATCAGTAACAGACTGGTTCTTGATACGGACCTGACCTAATGTGGTCTGATTGAAAGTTATTGTTAAGACAACACGTGGGGCTAAAACTGGAGAAGCAGTTAGTTTTGTTACTTAACTTTCACAGTGATTTTAGGATAACCGCGGTTTGATTAACCGTAAGAATTGTAGAAACTACGATATCTGTCTCCGTCCTGTCTCTCGTGAGTTCGAACCACAGACACGAAGAGGGAACTGACTGAAAAGCTCATTTCCAAAAGTTCTGGTCTAATACGGACATGAAGAATGAGGCTTGAACCAGGACACGTTTAGTTTTTCTAACTAGTCAATACATCGCTCCCATAACAGAAGAACTTGCGTTGCTGTCCCTTCAAAATAAAAGTCCCACATAGATACACAGCTTATGACAGGAAACACAAATTTAGTGACCAACCTTCCTCAATAAGGCCACTAAATAAAATCGCTTACATAAATTACTTTAAATAGATAAGCGTTACACTCTAAAACTAACTGGATAAAGTTAATGATAATAATACATATTTTATTGTTAGCTATCTATTGGCTACATATTGCTTGTTGTGAGTCTTTTTTCTTCTATAGCAAACTGTGAAGCTGTGATATTTCCTCGGACAATCGTGGCACCAAAGTTTCATATCGTGACATCCCTAGTTGTAACCTCTGTCTTGTTTCTCTCTGTTCCTCCAGAGCTCCCACAGCAGCATGTCTGTAAAGAGGAGGAGGTTCTCACTGACCAGCAGCTCTGTAACCAGGAGAGGAACTCCAGTCTGGACCAAGAGGAACCAAAACCTCCTCAGACTAAAGTGGAACAAGAGGAAATG